TCCAATTATTGCGGAGTGTATCTTTGACGGCAATGAGTACCTTGGACTCGAGGGACCCAACGTAGGCTACCCTGTGGCGGGACGGAGTTGGGCTCACCAATAGAAGACCTCCACCGGCCCGCCTCCCAGCGCAACATACTTATGGTCATCTTGAGGAATGAATCCAAGACGCTGAATTTCATAAAAGCATAAGGAGTCCAGGCTGGGTGAGAGCCGCAAAAATCCTCACCAAAACGTTTTGTGGCGATATTTCCACTTGTGTGCGATCTAGTTCCCCTCCTCAGTTTCTGTGAGCAACACCCTTGCGACGCGCACAGCCGCGACGCGGCTAGGGGTAGATACGTGAAAATCAATAACAACCATTCCAACATACGACGTGACGTAGACCAAGGGGTAGAAGTTTACCTTAATTTTTCAAAAGATGTGAACAAATCAAGGTGTTTGCCTAGGAAAACCAATCGATAAAGCTGATTTGCAGGCAGTCTCGGAATTTTTTCATCGGGTTTTCCCGCTTTATTTTTTTGGTATCCGGGCTCTTCTTACATGATATGAATGTTGTCTTCCAGATCGTTGGCATCGGGTCACATATCACTCAGGAGGTGCTATTTGCCTTGCCAGTACGCCATTTTCTCTCGATCATCGTGGTGCATTCGCCGTTACTGGTAGCAAAACTTACGTACGAATCAAAGCGCTGCATTATACTGAAGGTGGATAGATTTCACACTTACAGTGATCACTGCGCATTTGCTACAAGCACATTCCACGATAGCAAATGGAAGGAGATCCAAATCCGCTGTCTCTTTTCAGTTGGCATGCTCTTCTCCTGACCGCGAGCGCACCACTTCTTCTAGCGGTTAAGAGGAGAGCGTGCCAACTGAGGAGACTGTGCACTGAGGAAGCACAAGTCTCCGCCCATCTTGTGGTTGCGCACTGTGCCTTTAAGTCTTGTCAGTTCAGATAACCTTGTTGGACTGCATGATTTGGGACAATCGCGAGTGACTGACGAAGCTGGCAAAGATGTCGAGGTAAGTCCAGAATGGCGTCCATATTTGCGGAGGATCTTATCGTAGTTCTTTGAAGGTACTTAACGTGAGTCTTGATCCAACTATGGAATGTCGACCACTTCCCTGTAAACTACGATATTCTGTTGGATATGCCGACAAGGCGATCAGGTAGGTGAACATACATATTTTTCATACAAGACGG